GCGTACCAAGGCCGTCGTATTTTTAGTTAGGTCAATGTTTAGTTGGCCGCGAGTGTGTCGTCAACGAATCCCGGCTCTTAAAATGTCGACGGCAGCGGCGGCGGCGGCGGTGCCGGCGACGGTGGCGGCGGTGGTGGCGGTGGTGGCGGCGGTGGTGGCGGCGGTGGCGGCAGCGGCCACGGCGACGCGCAAAGATAAAGGGACCTTGAATTTCGCGGATACTATCTGCGGCCTTATCGCATTCTCCCTCCCTTCCGCCCACCCATCGCTCTCTCACTCGATCTCTTTCTCCCTCCCTCCCACCTCGTCTATCCGCTCGCCCTCCCACCCTATCCCCCTTTCTCGCTACGTTCCTTTTCTCTTTCTTTCTTTTAAACATTTTTTTATTCTATGTACACATGTACGATATCGACCCCGCTCAGTTCGTATTATTACCAAAATGATAAATTCTCTTTAGTACTAACCTAGCGTAAGCCAGTCGTTCAAATATTATTTCAATGATCCAGCAGACCACCTGAATTTACCCAGCATCTCGAGCGTAAATCAATTTTTTCTTATTTTTCATACGACTGACTTTACTAAATATCTTACTCGATAGAATGTGCGTCAGTCGCCGTATTCATTCCTTCATAACATATTTATTGAAAATAAATTAATTTTTATATATTTAAATAATCTTGCATATAGTTGGCCTTGTTATTTCAAATTGACCGTACGCACGAATTGCGATAGATCTATAATTTTCACATCTGTCTTCTTAAATTACAATCGGTTTTATTATCCACGTATTAGGGCAGGAATTTTCTTTCTCCGGAGATTAATAAAAATTCGAGAATATTTCTTTGCTTCAGAAATAATCGTAACACACTAAAAATAACGAGATCTAGAGAATTACAATAATCGCGCGTATGTGAGCCTTTTCCTGTAAGCCAGTCAAATTAACTTTCGATAATTAAAAGTCTTGGCCAAGCTCGATCGCGCACGAGGAAGACGAAAGAAGCTCATGCAGCTTGCAATTAGCGTTTAGATAACGTGCCGTTACTTACTCTAGCGAGGGGCATTAATTTTCATACATTTATCTAAATTAAAATCGAAGTCATCACTTTTCACGTCTTTACAATTGAATTAAAGCAATGCTTAGTTAATTGCTGTAAATGAGAGCCGAGGACGCTGTGAACCGGGCGACGGACGGAGAGTAAGACAGTTAGTTACGCCAAACGTAATCAATCGCGTGCATTAATATTAATTTGATCGACGCGCGAGTCGTGGTCAAGCAGGTATTTCCGTTTACGCGCGCGTGTGAGAGAGCGAGCGAGTGTAGTAGTTAGTTGAACCGGGCAGCGATAGGCGGCGCTCATACACGTGCGTACATAGTAATAGGATCCCTGAGTCGGCGAATAGATCTCGTACGCGCATAATTAGTGCGTGTATAGACGAGTCGAGGAGAGCATGAGTTGGTTATGCTGAAGAGACACGGCGTGACCTTCGCAAACTTTTAGTTGTCATGTGCCGTCCGAATGCGTCTCGTGTGAGTGTGAGTGTGTGTGTTGGTAGTCGCACGGACGTGGCCGATTGTATATGGACGATTGGTGGTACGTCAGCAAAATATTGCTGCGAGGAGCCGCCGATGCCACCGCCGCCGCCGCCGTTACCGCCGCCGCTGCCTCTGCCGCCACCGCCGCTTAATCTAGTTACAAAATGTGCAAAAGTTTTAAGAGCCTATGACCACTTCGTCTCCTTTCTTTCCTCTTTATTGTTATTCCGTACGCTCTTTTCGAATGTTAGTTAATTCTACTCGATTAATCTCGAATTTCTTCCATCTTCTTTACATTACATTATTATCGCCGAGTGTTTATTTCGATATTTTAATCGCAAAAGCAGCAGCGGGACCGACAAATTAAATGGCGATGGAGATCAATGGGAGAAGGTTTAAAAAATCCTTGATTGATTTTGAAGTGTTTGGCTTTCTTAGCGCTTTAATGACGATCACGTGGTATAATAATTGAAAGAACATTATCGGAGACGTATTTTACATTCAAAATTATAAGTGTATTACTTAGGTCGATCATTGCCACAATTCTTGCAAGAATGTACACAGTGAATAGTGTATATTTGCGTGTGTTTTATTCAACTTTTATTTAAATTAATTATACATTATTTATAAGCAATGAAGATTTAATTCACAGTTCTCTAAAAATCATACGTAGTGGTGAACACAATAGCGAGAAGTAAGAAAATACCAAGGTTTCATCGATTAAAAAAAAGAAAAAAAAAGACCAATTATGATAACGGAAAATACACTAATTGTAAAGCTTTTTCAATTCTTAGGTATTGTGTTGTATTTGTGCATTCAATAAATTATATATATATATATATATATTGTCACGACTAAATGTTTATTTGATTTTCTATCTATAATAAATTTAACTTCACGCTCGCTTCAAATTAATATAGACACAAGATAATGGGATATTTTAATGGAGCTTACTGCAAGCAATTTTATTACATGTTAAATTTCAATAGACGGATGTCTAATTTTGCTTAATATTAAATCACGAGGGTAATATATATATATATATATATATATATATATATATATATATATTCACCGTATACATAAATAAACCAATAAACCCGTTAAGATTGTGGTGGCAATAGCACAACTAAAGCTGCATTTATCCTCAAATCGATAATGCGATATTTGTTATTTTGTATAAATGTAAGATCATCGTACGCGCGTTGATTATATATTGCAAGACTGACACCCACGCACTAAAATTAGAAGGAAAGCTCGCGTTTCGACTTCTTTTTTTACCAAAGCATTGAATGCGATAACGAAATATTATTGCTGTACGGGTCAAATAACAATAAACCAGCAAAGGTGATAACTTTAGACGCTCTATCGTCCAACCGAGGTAAACACGCCTCTCGTCGCGGAAATTTCATAACAGATACTTCTCCTTTACTAGCGATCTAAAATACGAAATTTGAATCGCCCTCTCGTCGTAAACGCATCCACGAATCATCGGCTTATCATCTATTAGTCGATCGTTAATCCGTATTAATTTTCACTCCTCTTTACTTACAATGCTTTACTAAGGTTTAATAATTTCTTGTGTTTTTCATTGGGAGGACTGGAAGCGTTTGGCAATTTATTAAAGGCAAGAGAAAAATTTTGGTTGTGTATACAAAAAAAAAAAAAAAAAAAAAAAAAAAAAAAAAAAACAGAAAAAGAATAAAGAAAAAAAAAGAAGAAATTAGAGATATGTATGGAACGACGATAGTACTCTGGTATACAGAAAATAAATTTATGCCACAGTTTGGACAATACGAATACGGCAGAGCTTTATAAATAATGTTATACTAATGATTAATCAAAGTTAATAAATGCTCGCTGTGTAATAGCAAACAAGTGAGCACGAAATTCGTCGACTTGCTGGCCGTCGATCGTCTCGAGAGCGTCAACTCGCACATAATTTTTTTAACGGTGATGCAATCCCTCTTCTTTAGCCAAGATGAATTTAAGGATTGTGTCTGTCAGTTGGGCGATTGCAATTAGGCTCTGTAAGATTGCGCGCCGAGACGACCGCAGCTAATTTCGATTGTACAGTGATCTCAAACTGACATCTCTCTCTTTCTTGTTTTTCGCCAATTCAAAATGACCGCCAGCTCAACGACAAAGCTTTGGACTTCTACTCGTGGCAATTAAGAATATTTCGTTATGTATATTATAAATTAAAAACTGAAAAACATGTGCGAATGAATGGGAACTCGAAGTAGAAAGACAAAAGAGCCCCGAGGTCGAGCGGGCGATTTTGAAAATCGCGGCAATCATTGCGAATATGAATTCAAATGAACAATAATGCAAGTGCAAGCGAGTATACCGTTATACGAAAATAAATGACGTTCTTTTTAAAAGTAAAAAGTATACAGTAATGATGATATCGATGATTTGGTAATAATGGCATGCCAAATTAGAAGAAATTTAATCTTCCAAGCAAGGAGAGACAGAAGTATAGTGAACTTTCACCACAACCAAATAAATAATAAAAAATTTTGTTTTATATATTGTCAATACATATTGTGATTTGTTAGTTTGATATAACTGCACAAGTCACAGCGACTTACGTAATTCTGTCCAAGTGCCCGAGCGAGTCGAGCGATCGAGGCGCGCCGCAGACGTCATCGTCAAACCTCCTTCTTTTCCATGTACTTTTTCCTTTTTCTCTCGTAACTTCGCGCTGCGTCTTTAGGGCGCGACTCGAAGCGACTTCGACCGCTCGTTTTGAGAATTAAACAGAGTAGCGGAGAGAGCCCTTTGAAAAATCAAAAGAACGCAGACTCGAACCTTTCGTCTGTCCTTCGACTGTGCAAGCACATTTTTTTTTTTTTTTTCATCTATCTGTTATGCATGACTTACATACCGCGAATGAAGGGTTTTGAATATGACATCGAGAAAAAGAAGGAAAAAAAAGAATAAAAAAAGATATACACACACACACACACACACGTGTATACATAAATATATATATATATATATATATACATATATATATATATATATACATAAATACACACGCGCGCGCACACACACACACACACACACACGCACAAACACAGAGACACAGAAACACAGAAACACAATATATATATATGTGTGTTTGGGGTGTGCGACAGTGTGTTTGGGGTGTGCGCGCGTGTGAGTGTGCTCACACATGTATGCGCGCGCGCGCGCGCTTATTTATGTACGTGTGCGTGTATGTTGTACAAATTAACTTGAAAAATAAATAATGCTCGAAACGAACGAATAGAGAAAAACAAAATTGGAAGATTTCAGACGCATCTACGTATGTTATGCACTTATCGTTTGACTTAAGATTCTTGTGATTTCACAGGGCAAATGAATAAATTTAAACAAAAGTACAGAAAAGTATGAAAATTAAAAACAAAAAAAAAAGACGATTATGCATGACTTTTTACGAGTAGTATTATTCTCTTACCTTGCGAAGTTCCGGCTAGGTCCGGCGTCTGTAGCCCGTGTCCCAAGCCTGGAAATTTCACTATCGTCACACATAGCTATCAGTGCTCCCCTATCGGAACGCAATGCCAGGCCTGTACGCAATTTCGCAACTACCAATTGAATAGCAAGCAAATAATACAAAATACACATTTAAGAGCGTGCTACTACTGTATAAAAGTTGGGCTAAAATCGCAAGTGAGCGACTTTGCGCTCAACATAAAAAATAAAAATAACAACAACGACAACAACAATAAAAACAAAAAAAAAACAAAAAAAATAATAATAATAATAATAATAATAATAATAATAAAGGAAAAAAGAAAAACGAACAAAAGCGTCGATTGTCTTGCTGGGAGAATATGAGATAGATGCTTTTACGGGGCTGCTGACGATAACCGAGTGAGTCGGAGAGAGTGAGGGTGGGAGGACGGACAGCGGGTCCTTTGGAACATGACTTGTGCTACTTGCGTGGATGAACAAAAATGAGGGGGGGGGGTTTAGTCATGAGGTGTCACACGTCCATTAGACAAGGGGGCAATTTTTATCGATGCACGACATATGGGGGTATCTGATAGGGGAACACCGTGCAGGGCGATTTGCGCGAGCTCCGCAGGGAGCGAAAGGGGCAGTGGATGCAAGCCATACGCAGCTATCTGGCAGCCACGACTTTCCCGCCCTGCGTTAAAAGAGCGCTGAGAGGCAGTAGGGTCGGTGCACGAACAGTCGGAGATGCGCTACGGAGGAAGCGGGCTCGGGATGGGAGGTGCGGACAGGTCGAGAGAGAGGCGAGTGTGGGCTACGGGCAAGAGACAGACGCAGGCATGACGCGATTCAATAAAAGGAAATTGTTCGGTGCGTACAGGCGCGAGCTCGGGGGTTGCGTCTCACCTGAGAGTGGCGTGTGGTCGGTGGTGAGGGCGGCCATGCTGAAGTTGAAGCTACCGGGCGTCGAGGCGAAGAGTTTACTATCGGCCATGTAGTTGGGCGTGGAGAGGTGCTCGGGCTCGTTGTCGTGCTCGTTGCTGCTGGCGGAGGCGGGCGGCCGGTCGGAGGCCGCCGCACCCGAGTCCGAGCTGTCCTCGTTGTTAACGTTGAGGCCTACGCCGCCGATACCGACGCCCCCGCCCCCGTTACCGGTGTTGCCCCCGTTGCCGCCGGTAAGCTCGAGGGGCTCGCATTTGATGCCGTCCTCGAGGCGTCCGTTCTCCTCGTGGAGCCCGTTGCCCTCGATCTTGGAGGAGAAGTGGTTGCTCTTTACCATGGAGAAGTCGGTCGGCGTGGCGTCGTTATTGTTGAGGGGCGGCGAGAGGTCCCGGGGCCGTTTGATCGACTCGTCGTGCAGGTCGGGGCTGCGCCTCTCGTTGCGTCGGATCTGCGCCTGGCGCAGTAGCTGCTGGACCGTCGCCGGGGAGGCTGCGCAGGACGAGGGAGTCGAGCGGCCCCGAGGGAAGCCCTCGTCGGCCAGCTTCTCGTGTGGGGGCGGTAGGTAGTTGGGGCCGCTTCCGGCTCCGGCCGCGAGCGCCCGCACGTGCGATAGCTAGAGGTGCGTGTCAAGGGGTTAGGAGCTTAGTTGCTGACCTCTCCTCATCTCCACTACCTTAATCTATGCCGGATTAACTCTCCCGATTCACTCGTTTACTACTAAATTTTACTTTTAGTTTCCACCCTCCTTACCACCACCCCCAGTTACGGCAATAAGATTTTCTGTCCACCCACCCACCCACCCCTCCTCTCGTCACGCTCTGAGCGTCGCTCATTAGTGCTTGTTTGTCTCTAACGTGGCTCAGACACCGATTATTAATTATGACGACTTTCATTATAAATAGTTTTACATTAATGATCAATTTATTGGCCAGCGCGAAAACGAAGAAGGAGTAGATAAAAGAAAATTAAACTTTTGTAAGACCTTACCATGGCGTCGAGAAATTACGGTAAGATAGAGGGAAATTTCGTAAGATTGTCAAGAAATTATTGTACAAAAATAAATCCAACTCGTGTGCTTTTATCGTTTCAATGCTGTCAATTGCTTTGCCATTGTGAACGAGGTTAAGTGCTCCTATTCTTGATATTTTTTATTATATTCGTAAACAAAAACATTCTCTCTCTCTCTCTCTCTCTCTCTCTCTCTCTCTCTCTCCTTCTTTTCTCTCATGATTTATAACGTTAAATTCCATTATGAAAATTAGATTTTATAAACTTTTTAATTAATATCTCTGCTATTAATATATTATAATTTCATTAGAATGTAGTCTCATAAGTAATATTCGGATAATAATTGTGTCATTTAATTTCTAAAATAACAAATTCCTATTCTAAACATAAAATTATCATATGAATATAATATCTAATCGTCTATTTCTTATTTATGAAAAGTTTTCTATTCTAAACTATGAGAAAGAATAATTTTCTAAACGACTTAATCTACTTTGTGATTTTAATATTTTATAAAAATAATATACTGCAACCATAAAGTCTGGTTACATTTAAAAAATTGTCGATTAATGTTGGTAAACTGTTTAAAGCTTAAGTTATTAACATTATTTTTTACTTTGTTATGCAACAACTACTTCTATACTAGCCTATGCAATTATTATTTTTTTTTTTTTTTTTTTTAGTGAACTGAAAATTTCATAAGCAGCATTTATCGAATGTAGCATAAAATAAAACAATTTTTTCACCGAAAAAAATGAATGTTCAGCTTATTATTGTTTATTGCATTTAAATAATGAAAATAATAAAAATTTATTGTAAAAAATCTTCTCTTAATAAAGAAAAGTTTAGGAGCGTATAATTATTAATATGTAAAAATATCGAGTTTGCAAAAAATTTTACTCCATTTAAAATGCTCATGTATCACCATAATAGTTGTAATGAATATAAAGATAGAAATGAGCATTTTTAATCAATTATGATGAGTGGTGGATTAATTAATACGTATAATTAAAACTAATATTTATTAAATAAAACAGAATTTAAAGTCAAGCGAACATCCAATTAATGGATTTTTAATAATATAAAATAAGGGATAGATGACTCTATCAAATTTTATAATAAGAAATCTTAATATGAAATATTTTATCGTCGCTTGCTTATTCAATGATAATCAATGAGAGAAATTGAGATCTAGATGTGTTGAGATCTAGATATACCTCGAGATATAGGACTAGATAAAAATAATGATTGATATTAGTAATACTTAACCTTCGAGAAAGGTCAAATATGGGCTAAATAAATGTTTTTCATTCGTTATATTATTATATTATTTTGATAATCTGTAGAGAGTTGGGTTATGGCGCACTATATATTTTCTTAATTGGCAAAGTTTGTAATGAAAAACTAATCCTCATTCTTAGTTTCATCGATCGCCCATCGCCAATGGCAATGCCAATACGCAAGTATTATTCATACAATTGAATGCGATTAACAAAAATCACTCTTATTATATTTAATCAGTTAATGAAGTCATAATAATAAACGCAAGTATGTCGAAAAGCGCTCACCTCATCCCTGTTTGATTGGTCAGCCTGTTGCGATAATCCGGACACCCTGAGAACTTCGGCGGTTTTCAGAAAACTACTGAGAGAGCGATGGTGGACGTTTACTTCGCCGTGGTAGATAAATTCCACCAAAGCATGCAAATCACTAAATGCTACATCTTGCAGTACTATCACCGGGTGTTTACACGGTGTGCTCTGAAAATAATCGTGACGATGAAATACCTAAATGGCCGAGCTAATTAACAAAAATGCACTATACATTTATCTTTCGATATGATAATTGGATAGTAAAAGAAATGTTTGGGTTTTGTTTTGTTTTCTTTTGTTTTTTGTTATCTGTTGGTTTTTTTAATTTTTCGGTTTGCAATTACTTTTATTGAAATATAAAAGAAAATATAATAATGGAAATAATGTAGAAAAAATTAAGAAGAAAAAAAAAACAACAAGAAAAAAGATAAGACAGAACGTGATGTACATAAGGGCGAAATTCGAAGACGGGGAATCTATTTTGTAAGTACGGAGGTATGAAAAAGGACGATCCAGCATTAAAGGAGATTTTTTACCTTGAGAAGCTCTCTGAAGTAAGGACTGCAGGCTGAAAGAACGACCCGATGTGCTTTGAGACTTTTGCCATCGCATGCCAGCGTGACGTCCACGAAATCCTCGTCATCTCGGAGATTTTCGAATGCCGATGTGATGCTGCTCTGGTAATTATTCCATCGCAGGCAAAAGTGTTGTGTATCTACCATCGTTATGCCTATTCACCTGTAACACAAAAAAAAATAGCACATATTAAACGTCGCTTTTAAATATTAGGATCATAACGTCATAATGTTCGATAACTCCACTATTGTCTTTATTAATTTATAGGGACAATAAATCTTATTGTCGATGCAGTCCCAACAATTCGACAATTCGTTCAATAAAGTAAAAACAATTAGGTTACTCCTATGTTCTTTTTTGTATTTCCCAACGACTTTTGCTATATGCTCTACTATTAACAAGTGTCAATGACCAAATAAGTTGATCGAATTTATCATTATAAAGAAACGTAACGTATATCATCGCATTTCCGATTAGTCTAGGATTTCTGAGAATTTAAAAGAAGACCTTTTTTTTTTTGCACGAAAAGGGGCCAAAGGGACACAGGGAGAGTGAGATACGGAGAGGTAAAGAGATAATGATCCGATTATTTACTGGCAATATAGTTTATTTGTTTATTTTACTGTAAATCGTAATGACTATAGTCAAAATTGAGTCAAATGAACACAATCGAATTTCGTAAGACAGCGCATTTTTTAAACTGTCGCTATCACCAAAGCTGCAATTTAACCTTACTCTTTACTCAAGGTATACGGCAAATCCCGATAAGACGGCATAAAGCACTGATAAATTTAGATAAGGATTATTTTGAAAAGGCCTGCAAAGTTGCAAAAAAACATTCTCTCTCTCTCTTTCTCTCTCTCTACACACACACACACACACACACACACACACACACTCTAACACTAACACTAACACTAACTCTAACACTAACACACACAAAAGCGCGCGCGCGC